TCTTCTTGGAGGTTCCCCCTTCCTCACTGGAGATAATAACTATGAATCAGTTTTTCAAGCTAGCCTCTTTCGTATCCTTAAATAAAAAATTCTACTTTCCTAACTCCATTGTTAGAGCTCATTATTTCCTTTCCTCACTTTGGAGTGACCATCTCCCGTGGGTAAAAATGACCTACTAGGAATGAGAGGTATTTACACATAATTTTGTTCAAACTCAATAATAATAAAGTTCTCCCATATTAGACTGCTCTTGACTTGCACTAACATATTCTCGATCATTCTCCTTGCAATCATGGATGTTCCATTTGCACTTTGTGTTAACCTAATTCCTTTGTCATCACTTCTTTCAAACCAAACTAATTCACTTTGTCGAGAGATGCTATGCTTATACTTGACCCAATATCACATGCGTTATAAAAAAAATGCACATTGATAATGGTGCAATCAATGTAAAAATATTCGGGTTCCTCTAGTTAAAAAACGTCTTCCATATGAGTAGGTTTCTTGTCTCTTTCCATGTTGACCCTTTGAAATGATTCCCACGGTCTTTTCGTTTTGTCAATTGATACATCGCTTAGCAAACAGTACAAATTAAGGTACTAAAAAATTGTAATAGAGTGAAAGAATGGTTGTCCATAGAGAAAGAAACCAAAAATACCAAGTCTATATGACATTTTTATATTATTTAGAGGGAAAGGATCATGAATCAAATGAAAACTGATAGTAACAATCACAAGTAAAAGTAATTAGGGATAAAATCAAACCACACAAGTAACTAATGTTTCAAAAAAAAAAAAAGAAACACGTTTGAAGGACTCACTGAAACTAACTTCAAGCAAAAGTGAACCTTTTTTCTTCTCTTGGCTTTTTTTGCCAGCTAGTAGAAATGGAATTTAAAATTGTCTTTCTCCTTAGAAAAACGTTTGAAAGACTTATTGAGAAAATTTTGGAAATTAATTTGTAGTTTAAAATCATCTTTTTTTGAACTTCAATTTCCAACCTTGGCTCATCTCCTCTGAATTTGAGCTAACAACTCAACACTCAAAAAGTTATGGACCTCTTTTGCATGTCCATGCATGGTTGTGCTGAATTGGAAATCATTCATATTTTTTTCATAAAATACAATTGTCCTACGAAATTATTTCAAACCATTTAAGTACCAAATTCAGTTATTAGTCACTAGATTTTTCATGAAAAGATATTATAGAGAAGAGCATAAAAATGTATTTATTTGAACTTTTATCAAATACCTCCAAACTTAAGTATTTAGCTTATCCTCAATCAAACAATTATGAGCTAGTAACCTCATCAAAGATTGACAATTTTAAAAAGTATTTCAAAAACAAGTTTGTTAGCCATGCTTAAGGTTTCAAACATGAATTCGATTAAAATATAGTATAACAAAATTTCAAGTATACCACTTAATCCCAACCATAATTATCTTTTCAAACTCAATTGCAGTAAAATCATTCCACACATAAAAAAGTTAACTCGACACGCCCAAAGTATTTAAGGTCAGTGTATATTAAGCAAAACTCTCAAAGTAATGCAAAAAGTAAGATAACCATTGGTTTATCAAGATAATATATCATCGCACTAAACATTAGTAAATGGACAAAACGAAGGATTGTGATTCGATTGTAACGGGGCTTAAGGAAAAGTGAGGAGGAAAAGGATATATAGGATGATATCGAAGGAAAATGCATACTTAATCACACAAACAAATTTAAGCATAACTAAAGGGTCTTTCACTCTTAGAATCGTAACTTTATCACCCAACTTAGACTCAAACAAAGCTCAACGATGTTTTTATACAAGTTATCATTTCAATGCCATCCTATATAATCTTTCAGCTCAATAAATAGAGTTGGACACAAACTCAACTAGGCCATCTAACTTCCCTTAATCACTTTTGGAGCTACGTACTCCAACCAACCAAACACACTGCCCATTTAAATTTTTTATTTTTGATCTTTTTTTTTCATACAACCTAAAACAACAACCATATAAAAACCAAAGTACATCTTCTCTAAATTTATGTGATCAAAGGTATATAATCTCAGCTCAAAAACTATGTGATCAAATCATTGCTGAAATAATACCACTTCAACCCTTATGCAATCAAGCATACACTTCTTTGAGTTTTGAACCTATGAAAGTTCAAAATAGATGAAAAATTTACTAGCTTGTAATGTTGTCTGACCAAAGATATGTCAAAGTTCGAAGTGATTAATTCAAAACAAAATATTTACTAAGATGGAACAAAACAAATAAATGGCTACTGGGGTTAATTAGGTGCCTTTCACAAATTAAACCCAAGATAACAGATAAAACATGTTCTCTTTTTGGTATCTCTTTTCTCTCCTCTCTTGTCCCCCCTTTATGCATTTTCCCCTTTCTCCATACCCAACCCTATTGCCGCCCTCAATTACAGCTCATAAGAAAATGTTAGATCTCAAAACCGGTTTTGCATAAAGTTTTAGTTGGAATGAAATTCAAGGTTTTCGCCATGTTGGAATCGAGAAAGTCTAGGAGTTTCACTGGTGAGGTCAGCTATTGAAAGATCAAGATTTGTGAAAAGGTTCAAGGGAATTTGTTGGAAAAAAAAATCAAGAAATAAATTAGAAAGCTTTCAACAATGAAGAAAATATTCTCTAATAATTCAGATGTTATGATAATTTCGTATTTAGTTGAAATTATTGGAAGAGCGGTAGGGACAGTTTCCCAATAATGTTTCTGTCGCCGGCCAAATTGTGCAGGATTCCAAGTGTCTATGAACAGTTTAAGATGTTCTTAAGGCATATAATCATTGTCATGTTGGTTTTGCATATCCATTTTTATTATGTTCTTTATCTATAATTTTTGTATAGCTTATCCATTGTTTTTGTGTTGCATGTACATCTTTTTTGCCCACTTTTAGTAACTTAATCTGAAATAAATAAATGTTAAATTAATTTGTTTATACATTATTTTGGTGCTAATTATCCATCTTTTTTGTGTTGTATGCCTATCTTTTTTTGCCCACTATTATTTGGTTTTACCAAAACATACAAAAATTTATAACAACACAATATCCATCATTTTTATATTGTATATCCATATGAAATCAACACCATATCTTTTTTTCTTAACTGCATATTTATCTAAATGAATATATAATTTTATCATTTCTGCGGAGAAAATTTCATAATTTTAGCTAGGGGATCAACCAATTAAATTGGTTTTAGGAAATTTTCAGCGTTAATGCCCCAAAAATAAGGGGATCAACCATGGATCAGGATCCACTCAATATGAACTCAATGAATCTCCATCTCTTTCAACAAGTTCATATGAAGGAATATACAATTTCTTCATTTCATCCTAGAAAATTTTAATAATTTTCCAGTTCGTAAAAAATATCAATGACAATGTTGTTGGATAGATCTCGTAGAATACTATAAATTTCATATACAACACATTTTCTCATTTTAATAGATTAAAAGATAATTCGTTAAAAGATTTTAAATATTTCAGAAAAAATCCCAATTTCACGGAAAAATAACTCACGTAGTTTTCCGTTTGTGTAATACACTTTCATGGGGATCCACATTAGAATTTCCACATTGATAGTTCGAAAATTACAACTAAAGTTTTGAAAATGAATTCTGCAAAATTTTCGTACGTCTAAATAAAGATTGAAAGTTGACAAATGAAATGAAAGATTACTTTGTCCAAGAAACATTAATAAGTCAATTATTCTAACACGGGATGATTAAATTAATCATAAAACTAAGTTTTAGTAGTTGACAAATCATTATGTGGCAGAAAAATAATAGATACTGGTATTTCAAGGTGAGCTTGTGAAGTGTCAGTAGGTCACCAATTACACATCTCTTTCAACATATTTATTGATTTGTGGTTTGTATGGTAAAATATATGTATGATTACCGATACTAGCCTTAGTTAATTACTACCTTTGTTCCTTAAAAATTTCACTTTCAGATTTCAGATTTGTACTAAAATTAGTGCAAATTAGTTTAGTCATGTAAGCATTCCGCGTGTTGTGATTAGTTTATTGCTAGGGATATATTTTAGCTACATGCATTTTGCAAGGGACATTGTTAGAGCAACTAACCATGTGGTCGTGAATCATGGGGTTCATTAAGCCCAAACCTTTTTTATTCAATCTTTTTCCATAATGATTTTATCTCAAAAGTATAACAATGCCTTTTGTTAAATACTTAAAAAAGACAATGCACCAATTGATGCAAACTCTCCGGGACAGCAAAGACACATTCCCATATTTTTACAAGTATGTATCAATTGTCAATGGTAGGAGTGCGAGCCTAATTTGGACAATAAAAGTAGTGTAAGTTGTTTAACAATAATAATTAAACTACTAATTAATCAACTTGCCGAAATGGGTAGCTAAAGTGTGGCGAAAATGATCAATCATTCGAGGTGTTATTTCGGCGCCACTCCATTCCTGCTGAACCGAAATGAGTATCCAGATTGAATTTTCATATTTAACACAAATTGTATTAAAAGTAAATTTTCAAATAAGACAATAATTTTTAAAAATAGAGGAAGTATAATATATTTCATTCAGTATTTGATTCCATGTATGTAGATAAACCTATTTTTTAAGAAGACAAAAAAGGAAAAAAAAAATATTGTTTAAATTGCTCCCGAAATTTGACTTTGAACTCATATTACAATCCCTCCAACCCAATTAAAAAGGTTGTTAATATCGTTTCTCATCATACAATTAATATAATAGAACGTCGAACCCATGCTTCTTATTATTCAATAAAAGTTGTCGAGTGTCGACTTCAATCATAGTTGTTCACATAATTCTCAACAGTCAAGCTGAAATGTATTGCCTATATTTCTTTTCTTATAAATAAGGAGCCCCAACAAGGAATATACAACTCGGCAAAGCCAAATCAACTTTCATTACATACTTAGCAAAAACTTTCTGAAATCCATCTTTAACCTTATTTCAAGAAACCAAAAAAAATATGGTGGCCAATGTGGAGATAACATCAAAAGAAATGATTAAACCATCATCTCCAACACCCGATCATCTCAGAACCCACAAACTATCCTTCCTCGACCAAATCGCTCCCTCAGTTTACATCCCTTTGATTTTCTTCTACAAAAATTCTGACCATTTTCCTAAGCTTGATTCCCTAAAAATTTCTGATTTGCTGAAGCAATCTTTATCCAATGTTTTGACTCAGTTTTATCCTTTAGCCGGAAGACTCTCCGGTGGCAATCTCACCGTAGATTGTGATGATTCCGGAGTTCTGTTTGTTGAAACTATAGTTGATGCCAATCTCTCAGATGTCATAAACCAGCCTAGCATGGATGTTAACAAACAGTTTCTGGCGCTTGATCAACTTACTCCCACTGAATCAAACAGTGTTCTTTTAGCCCTACAAATCAATATATTCAACTGCGGAGGCATTGCAATTGGCATGCAAATGTATCATGGGGTAGCCGATGGAACTTCCGCGGTGAATTTCATGAACGCGTGGGCTGCAAGTTGCCGCGGTGATGATATAACTCATGAAGATTTTGCGCCTAGATTCATTAGTATGGCGGATTTATTTCCCCCAATAAACTTGCCTAGCAGTGGTACTGGTGGTTTTCTTGAAGTAACAAAAGAAAAGCTTGTCACAAAACGCTTCGTGTTCGACAAGGAAATCCTGGCAAAACTGAAACAATCATCAGCTTCCGGATCGTCACAAGTAGGGATGAACATCAACCGTACGAGGGTTGAGGCTGTTTCCGCGTTATTCTGGAAGCGTTTTGTTGATACTACCATAGCTGAAAACTCAAATAAGAGCGTTATCGCGGCAGGTCATGCAGTGAACTTGAGGCCTAGAATGGATCCACCTCTTCCAGATCAAGCATTTGGGAATGTGTGGATATTGTCTACGACTCAAGCAATACCTATTGAAAAAAATGGTGAAACGGATCTTGATTTGGTTGGTTATTTGAGCAATGCACTGTGGAGAATCGATGGAGATTATGTGAAGGCAATACAAAGTGGAGATGCTCAGTGTCTTAATTCTCTCATGGAAATTTTGGCACTAAGATCAAAGGGGGAAATTCAGCTGTCCCTTTTCACTAGTTGGTGTAGATTTCCAGTGTATGAAGTTGATTATGGTTGGGGAAAGCCAGTTTGGGTGAGCACATTTACTATGCCTTATGAAAATGCTGCGCTTTTGATGAGTACTAGCTGCGGAGAGGGAATCGAGGCTTGGTTTAACGTATTTGAGGAAGATTAATCACTAGTTGGGATTTCAGCGACTCATAATTGACTTATTAATCAGAAATGATACCCTAAGGAAGGCATACGAAGTGTGATCATGAAAAGTAGTGGTCTTTGTTCAATTAATTTGGGTGTTTTATTGTTTTTACTTTCAGTATTTTAGGTTTGTCTTGGGAGGATTTTCTCCACGAGAAACACTTGATGTGCTTTGACATTTAAAATTAAATAAATTGTGGTTGATGGTTTCTTTCAAATAGCTGGGCGTGGAAAATTTTTTGTTGTAGCGTCACACGTCAATAAAGAAGCATTTGCGTGCGTATGTTGTTATAATGGATCAGTACTACTAATTTTTTCGAGACTAAACAAATATTGTCATTTGTTGGAGACTAAAATATCCAAATGGTCCTTTATATTTGAGTCTACTTGAATTTTCGTCCTTTACGTTAACATTTCAATATCGTAGTCCCAAACATTATGTTTTCACACTTTTTTGGTCCCATTTCACTGTTTCCGGCCTTTAACATGCTGGAATCAGGGGTATTTTTGTCTTTTAATTTAATTTAAACTAAAAATATTTTAAAATTCAGATTTCATTATTTAAATGTTAAAATATTATTTATTGATTAAAAATATTATTATAAAATTTTAAAATTTACATTATTTTCAAAATTAATTTTTTCATTTATCATTTATCTTAGGTCAAAGTAAATAGTAATTATGTTGTACTTTTAACCTTAGACCCACTGTAACTTAAAAAATTTACCGAGTTACAGTAAATAATTCAAAATTCAATTTCTTTAAAAAAAAAAAAAAAGCCAAACCATTTTTTTTTACTCTGACCGCTATAATAAATCATAAATGGTAATTATGTAACACTTTTAACCTTGAACCCACTATAACTTAAAATATTTATCGAGTTACAGTAAATAATTCAAAATTCATTTTTTTTAAAAAAAGGGAAAAAGCAAAACCAAGATTTTTTTTTTACTTTGACTGCTACAGTTGAATTTTGAATTATTTACTGTAACTCGATAAATTTTTTAAGTTACATTGGGTCCAAGGTTAAAAGTGCAACATAAGGGTTTACTGTAGCGGTCAATTACTTTGTTTTGTTTTTTCTTTTTTTTTTTTAAAAAAAATTAAATTTTGAATTATTTACTGTAACTCGATAAATTTTTTAAGTTATTGTATGTCCAACGTTAAAAAAGCAATGTAGCAGTCAGAGTAAAAAAAAATCTTGGCTTTTCCTTTTTTTCGGAAAAAAAAAAAATGAATTTTGAATTATTTATTGTAACTCGGTAAATTTTTTAAGTTACAGTAGGTCCAAGGTTAAAAGTCATAATTACCATTTAGGGTTTACTATAGCGGTCAGAGTAAAAAAATCGTGGATTTGCCTTTTCTTTTTTTTAAAAAAAAAATTGAATTTTGAATTATTTACTGTAACTCGATAAATTATTTAAGTCACAGTGAGTCTAAGGTTAAAAGTGTATTAAAATTACCATTTAGTGTTCACTGTAGCGGTCAAAGTAAAAAAAATCTTAGTTTTTTTTTCTTTTTTTTTTAAAAAAAATTTGAATTATTTACTGTAACTCGGTATATTTTTTAAGTTACAGTGGGTACAAGGTTAAAAGTGTAATATAATTACCATTTAGGGTTTACTGTAGCAGTAAGAGTAAAAAAAATCTTAGTTTTACTTTTTATTTTTCTTTTTTTTTAAAAAAAAATTAAATTTTGAATTATTTACTGTAACTTGGTTAATTTTTTAAGTTACTGTGGGCCCAAAGTTAAAAGTGCAACATAATTACTATTTACTGTGTACTTAAAGTAAATAGTAAATAAAAAAAGTAATTTTGAAAATAATGATAAATTTTAAAATTGTACAATAATATTTTTAATTAATAAATAATATTTTAACAATTAAATAATGAAATTTGAATTTTAAAATATTTTTAATGATTTAAATTTTAATGAAAATGTAAATTAAATTAAAAGACAAAAATACCCTAATTTCGGCATGTCAACGGCCAGAAACAGTAAAATGGGACCAAAAAAGTGTGAAAACATAATGTTTGGAACTACGATATTGAAATATTAATGTAAGGGACGTAAATTCAAGTAGACCCAAATGTAAAGAACCATTTAGACATTTTAGTCTTTGTTGGACTAAAAGACACCAAGGTGGAATTAATTTTTATGGCGAATGGAATACAGAGAAATCATTAACCTCCATCCTAATTAAAATTTCAAGCAACAACCTCTTACTTGATTTAGTCTTCAAACATCTCTGTACCCATTTACTTCCCCTAAAAAATTTTGCTGATTGCACTCCTCTCAAACATGATAAATTCCGGCAGCACTTACAGCAAAGAAGGCTCTTTGCTTTACAGTTCTCCACTTCCACATAAAGACCATGCTCTTCTATGTCAAATTCCTCAGTTTACTAGGATTAATGTGATCATCATTTGGGACTAAATGGTCAGAGCCATAGAGGCTTAGATTAGTTCTTGTCTGAGGAAAGATTTTGCTTGTATCAATTTTGAAAATGGTAGTCTTTTGTGTTGTTCCATTCCAGAAAAGTGGACCATTATTTTACAGTGGGGGAGTTTTGGGATCGTTCACAAACTGAGCTAATTTCTGCTCATCAAAGAATATTCAGAGCCTGAACCCTATTTCACTAGTTATTCCAAGTACCTGATTGAAAATGGAGAAAGGAATAAGAGTTACATTACTCTTCATAAGAAAATGTTACCTGAGACTTATGGAACGAAATCTCCTACAATAGAAGCATCCCTTTCTAATAATTTTTTGATACCTCTCATACTAAAAACAAGGTTGACCACTTTTAATTTACGGGGAAACTACAGACAAGGATAAAACCACCAGTTTGAATTGTTGCTCAACTACGGCGCAAGGCGGTTTGGATCACGGGGGAAAAGTGACGTCTTGCGTATGTTGTTCAGCGCGCAAAACAACATAACCACCCGCTCCAATCCGACACCAAAACCACCATGCGGTGGAGCTCCATACCTACATGGACAGGTTAAAGGTTAGATACATAACTCTCTCAAACATGTAATGTCTAAATACACATCAATGCCTCAGATTCAACTGTCACTGAACATTAATTGTGTAATGCCTACAGGGATTCAAAGAATTATAAGATATAAGATTACCTGAATGCATCAATATACGTAGATATGGTTTTGACATCGATACCCAATTCTCTAGCTCGTTTTTCTAAGAGCTGAGGCTCATGAACACGTTGCGCACCAGAAATAATTTCCTCTCCTGATCAAGACAAATAGTTCAAATTTTAGCACCCGTGTTCATTTAAGACATCAAAGTGTTTCTAGAACATCAAGTGGTTTCAATCACACAGCTTCAACATAAAGCACTATCAGACTCGTGTTCGCATGCAAGTATATAATGAATATCAGCCAGTAATTGCGAAAGCACGATATGTACCTCGAATGAAAACGTCAAAGGAGTTACTATAAGTTGGATTATCATAGCATGGCATGGTGTAAAAAGGACGGACAGCCAAAGGGTACCGGTGGAGTATGTAGAACTCTGTGTCATACCTACAATGAGAAAAACAGATGCACATAGGGTTCAGGAAATCATCATATTCAGCTGGCACATACATGAATGTCAGCAACTGCAAAATGAATTGAGAATTGAGTTAACAGAAAATGGCGTACTTTTCCTTTACAAGCTCTCCCAACTTTCTTTCATTCTCGGTGTTCAGATCACCAAGGGGATCAACATTAACACCAGCTTCCTGCATAAACACACACAATGTAACAATCATTCATCTGATTTGAGGGTCAAGTTCCAACCGGAAAAATGTAAGGTTACAGTCTTATTTAAAAAAAAAAATTCATCTAATTCAATTTGGCAAATATAATCAAATATGTAACACAAATATTATTATATCATGGATCCATCATACCTCGAGCATTTTGATCCCTTCTTCAAACGTAAGGCGCAATGTCCTGGGCAAGTACTGCAATTCGACAAATATCAAAGTCAGATATGATTTCATCAACATGAATAAGATACACAAGAAACAACCTGATGACTGACACTTTATGGTAATAATAACAATCATATAAACGTGCAAATACTTTCTCTGTAACTTGTTTTAATAAATTTACCTTCAAGGGCTTGAATGGATACTGTCTGTTAATTGCCTCGAGCTGCTTTTGACTGTTCTTATTTATACTATCGAACATTGACACAAATAACTCATCAACAATATCCATGACCTGCATTACCGAATAAAGAAATGAACAACATTTATTGCAAATAAATCTTCATCTTTAAACAATTATAGAGTACCTCTGAATAGTGTTCTTTTATTTCCATTTCCACGTCAAGGCCTACGAACTCACACAAATGTCTATGAGTGAATGAACGCTCAGCTCTGAAAACAGGCCCTATCTCATAGACACGCCCGAAATCGGCACAAATAGCCATTTGTTTATGCAGCTGAGGTGACTGAGCTAGACAAGCAGGTGTCCCCATGTAATCAAGCTTAAAAACAGCAGAACCCCCCTCACTAGAACCAGGCATCAGCTTAGGTGTATGAAGTGCAATAAAGTCTTTAGCTCGCAAATATTGCTCAAAAAACTGCACATTAAGAAGTTCATTAAAGGCGGTCAGAATCGGTAAGGTTAAATCATCCGCACGTCACACACCTTGTAGCAAAACATTTTATGTGAAAGAACAGCTTCATTAGACAAATGAAGAACTGAAGAACAGGAACCATTAGGGACAAATGAAGAGCTGAAGAACAAGAACCATTAAGTACAACCATCAGTGACAAGCATGTTCAGAGTTACAAATATGACACAACGGTATCATGAGATAAATGTAGAAGAACAAGAAGCACCAAGTACACCACAAATAACACGCATGTTAGGAGTTATCTAAAAGGAAGCTCCAAACAAACGGTATAAAATATAGAAGTTAAGCAGAGAAAACAAAAAAGAAAAAAAAAACGAATTCAAAATTTAGAGTTTTGCAGCTGTATTTAACAAAAACTACTATCAAAAGCTTGGGGTGGACCAATCAACTTTCAGGGACAATTGACGAAACGCTTGAAAAAGTAACACCAAAAAAAAAAAAACAGTTATGCATAACAAAAATCAGCTTTTCATCACCAGAAGTAGTCTGCATGCAAGCATTTACAAGTTAAAAGTAGACATACCATCCCAACTTCACTCTGAAGGCGGAATATTGCCTGGTTTGCAGGTGTCCGCAAATCCAGGACCCTGTTATTCAAACGTGTGTCTTGATTAACTCGAATAACTGGTTCACCAGCCTGCAATCCAAAATCATATCAGATAAACATGCACCAAACAAATTGCATGGCCTACTTTCCAAACAAAAGAAACTGTACCTGCTCAGCTTTCACAATTTCAGTTTCACTTCTCGCAGCATCATCTATGTTAACAGGTAGGACTGGCTCCGCATTGCTTATGGAATAAATTTTGGTAACATGAACTTCAACCTAAAAAAGGACCGAGCAGAGGATTATCTTTTGACAAGGAATGTCCCAAAGTAAATCAACTACATTTGGAAACATTATTAATAATAATATTACTGAGCAAAGCATATGCATAATGGTGATACTTTCCAACCTCAACAAACCCACAAATCCAATCACTAACTTTCATGAATAAAGACTATCTTTACAGGTTGATGCTAAATACAGAGATATGCAACTGACTCATCAGTCTCCATTCTTGTAAAGTACAATAAACATAAACAAATGTACCTTTTGCGTAGTACTTTCGATAGGAACTTTGGGCACCGAAACTACTCCTTCAATATCAATGATAGACTCAGTACTCAGGGCAGTAGCATATTTTACCATCTGGGGACTCACAACATCAGGTTTAACATTCAGCACACATTGCACGGTAAAGCCCCTTTCCCTCACTACCAAAAAGGCCAACTTACCCTTCCCCCTTTTAGCCTGCAACCTACCTCTAAAAAGGACTGTCTGGGCCTCAAATCCTGAATCAAGTTTACCAACTTCTGTCCATTGGCGCCCTGTAACTGCCTTGGACTGAAGCTCGTTAAGCGGCACATCACCGTAATTAGCTGCCAAAGGGTCTTCAGAGGCAGGAGCAGCAGCACCCGAATTTGCAGTGGCAGCGGCTTTTAGCTCTTGCTTCTTACGCAGACGATCCAGCTTGGCTGCCTCCTTCTTGGACATTTTCTTCCCTCCTTCTGACTCTCCTTCTGCTTCTAAGGCCATGGTGGAAAACTGTTCAGAATTGTCTTCAGGGGCTGGAGTGGGATTCTGTTCCGACGCTTCTGACATTGTTGATTCTGAGGACAAATAATGCAGGGTTACATTGTGAAAATAACACTCTGAAAACTCTGGAAGATTCTGAAAATAAACATTCACACTTTAAAGAGAAATGCCAAGATCTTCATCAAGAACAGAAACCACAAAAAGGGCAACACATACATTGGGATCTGAAGCCTTGGAAGAAAACTTTTGAAGCATAAAGCACAAAAAAAGCACTTGCTCGCTAAAATTGGTCTAACCCTGAAAAATATCAGTCCCTAAACCAAAACTACTGCATGACTAGAAAATTTCCCCTACAAAAATCAGACCCTTAACCAAAACTACAGTGTGACTAGCATGAATTAACAGTAAAAAATAAATCACAAATCACAACAAGTAATACAACCAGTTGCAAACTCAAAGTAGGAAGTCTAGAGAATACAGTCTACAGACATACATCCTGAAAAATCCTGATGGAAACCATCGAAGTTTCTTAAAATAAATATCCATAATTTCAGGAAAACATAAAGGATGAGCCAAGATTTCGTCGAGGAAGCAAGAAACTGAGCCAACACAATGATTGGGAACAGAAGCCAGAAAACACTATGAAACAAAACATCGAACATGTCGTATACCCAATATCCCACGGATATAAAAGCAAAAAATAAGCACAAAAACTCATCATCAATTAACAAACCCATTCTTACTCAACTTGCCTGACAAATCCAGCGAAAAGATATAGAAGGATAAAATCAGTGTTTATCATAAGAATTCAGAAGTAAACGATAAAGAAGAAAAAGACCAAAACTAATCCAAAAGCAACAAAATGTAGCTGAGAGATTAATCAAAAATAAAAAATTCTTCGGTTTGGAGGAGGAAATAGAGAGCACCTATTGCGTGGTAAGGTCTTTTGAGATTACGACCGGCGGTGGGAAAAAGTGGCGGCACAGGACGACGAGCTGTTTTGAGAGTTTTGGTTACTTTTCTTTCCGATTGATTATATTTCCAGAAACGAATAATAAAAATATACTCAAAATATAAAAATAAAAATATAAATAGAAGAGAAAAGAAATTCTGGCTTGGAAATGTTTTTTGTCCCTATCTTTATAAAGAAAAAAAAACAATTAGTTTTAATAGTTTTTTTTTTTTTTTCAATATTGGTCCTATTCGCTCCTGACAATATCCCGGCAAAATTTGAATTTCTTTTTTGAAAAATAAAAATTACGTTTTGTTCAAATATTTTATAATTTTGCTCAATTTCATTTAAAAAAAATTTTCAATCTCATTATTCCCTCTGTCCTATAATTATTGTCCACTTTGTCCAAAAAATTTTGTCTCAAAATTATTATCCAATTTGACTTTTTATGGATCAAGTTGCACATTTGTCCTTAGTAAAAAACATTATCCATAAAATCTTAGTGGTTAAACAATTACTTATGTGGGGGTATATCCGATTGTTTAAGGTAAAATATAATTAAGTTTGACAAAAAATAATCTTTCATTTTAGTAAAACTGGACAATAATTATGGAACAGAGGGAGTATTAAAAAGATACTGAAACTGATAGACGGACTCTATGTTCCCCCTACGGAGAAAAATTGGTATGTTTCTTCTCCTGTGAGACGCTTTTCTGATTTACAACTCTTTCAGTAGTTTGTGGCCTAGGATTTTTTTTTTTTTGCCCTTCTCTTATGCAGATTAAAGTGGTGAAATCATTGAATTTTGTTAAGAACTTGTGTCCCTAAATATTTGGTTTTCAACTGGCTTAGTTGTGCCTTGTGAATTAAAGAAATCATTTCCGTGAAATCATATGTAATGTGCTAGGAGGAACGGTGCTAATGACCTTATATTTGTAGAGCATTTATCCACGCTGATCACTCCAACCTACCTTGTCACTCTTGTAAATATAGTTACCAATTTGACTAATGCTGATCATTGATTGTTCAGTTCTTGAAGAAGCGGATATAAGCTCTTCAAGCATTTTTGTACTTGTTGAAAAAATTAGAACATCAAAATTAAATGATGGATTGGAATTCAAGTTCAAACGCAATACAACTTCAAAAATTTGTAAGCATGTAGAGGTATGCTTTTAGCTTGTAGGTTTGAGTTCTTGTTGTTTTTATAGATTTCATTAATGACGGTTTGCTTACATGCTTTTCTTTTCTTCTCAATGCGAAAGGAGTGCATCCAACAAAATGACCACAAGCACATCTGATTAAATGGCATAATTCCAGTAGGTCATGCGACCCTTCTGCTTTTTGTTCTTCTCGGACTGCTTCTGAGGCTGAGTATGCAATTTAAATTAGCTACAAATGCAATTTGAATTAAGATCAAAGGAAAACTAAAGCTATTGGGAATTAGCAACGTTACCAGTCTCTCTAATTATTAAATTGTATTGGATTAGTTTTGCTGTTTTAACTTACTGTTGGAATTTTCAAATTTTCTTCAGGAACATTCACTTCGATTTGGTTCTTTCTGTTACATATGCTCTGTTTTATGAGCTACGGATAGTTTGCTCAATTATCATTGGGTAAACTGGATGTGTTTCCCTTCCCCTGCTTTTTCGGTTTGTTGAGTATTAAAAATAGATTTTGCGTTAGTCTAATGCAGTCAAGGTACAAAAATTGCTATGTTCTTCTACAAATTTATTTCAACTGGTTTATGCTCTTCTATGTACTTGCCACTGGGTTGATTACTACACGTATTTTGACGAGTCATAAATTAACGCTAGGCCTATTGAACCTAGGATTAGATTACTTGGAGATTAAGCCATTGCCTAACCCTATTCCGCTAAGGTTTCAGAAAACAAGTAACACCACCTCTATACAAAGAGGTGGTGCCTCTCTCATAAGGGATATCTTCTACCTATCTTCTACACCTTCTACACACGATACCTATCTTTCTATTCTCTTTATTCATTTATTGACTTAAGCCTCAGAGAGTCTATTCGCGGGAGCCACCCGAAGCTCTGTCTTGCAGGTTTTAGGTCGTCCGCCGCTACCTAGATCATCATCGCCGCCCATCCTAAGGCACTGTACAAATCCAAGCTTCGTCAAGTGGCACGCCCGGTGGGACCGATTCGTTTGATTTTCGCAACCAAATAATTTCTTGAAGCGAAGTTGAAATTTGTTGGTGCTTTACGTTGTGCAACATCACCAGCGTTCATGGATCAAGGAAAACAGCAAACAACTGCTACTGCTGCTGAAAAAGACAAGCAGCCAACTCCGGCGGAACCATCCTCTAACAGGTCGTTTGGTGGTTTGTTTGATCAAAACCTCATGGAGGCCTTTTTCAAATTTCAACCTACCTTGTTCAACAAGTTCCAAGATTTTGTGAAGAGCTTTCATGAGCTCGATGGCAATCAGCGATAACTCTTAGTGAATAACCTAGATACATTCTCGAAAGATCGAGAGCCAAACCCTAGGGGTAATTCTCGAGAATATCACACTATGAATCAAGAAGATGCTCATCTTTCTCGAGCAGTCATATCTTTGACGCGAGTACCTTCAACCATCGAGGAGTAACTATGCAAGATTCTCGCACCTGCAGGAGAGGATCATGAAGAGGATGACAGTCCATTCATCCAACGCATCCGAGAAACACCCATGCCTGAGAAGTTTGAACTTCCATATTTGAAATTTTATGGAGGAGATACTGATCCCATGGTTTTCTTACAAATTTATAAGAGTGCTATGAGATTGAGGAATACCTCCAATGATTTCATGTGCAAGGCGTTCCCTACCTATCTCACGAGTCAAGTACAGCTCTGGTTTGGAACTTTTCCCCCGAGAAGCATACGGTCGTTTCATGAGCTAGGAACTTTGTTTCACACAAGGTTCTTCCAAGGGAAGAAGATCCGCAAGACGATCACCGAACTATTGGGTCTCAGGCAAGAACGAGAAGAGTCTATTGGGGGTTATTATACCCGCTTTACCGAAGAAAAACTTCAAGTGGAAGGGGTTTCTGAGGAGACAATCATCGCAGCCTTCACCAATGGCCTCTACCCGTATGGGGCATCCACGAACTTATGACAAAAATTGACAAAGGAATCACCGGTTACGCTACAATAACTCTTCTCAATTATTGAAACTGAAGTTCGAGCAGAAGAAGATTTACGTCGAGTACGAGATAGCATGCACTATTATGAGAAGAGGTCGCTCGAGAACAAGGCTAAAGGCCTAGGGGCAGATCGTGACCAAGAACTAGACAAAGAAACACAATCGAGATCGAGAAAGAGGCCATGACCGAGCAAAGAGGAAGGCAGATGCTTATATGCCTTTAACTCGTCCTCGAGCTGAAATCCTAGAGATCCATAAGCATGAGTTGAAAGTGCCACGTCCCATGTCAACAGATCCAAGCACGCGCCCAAGACACTTATGGTGTTCTTTCCATAAAGATCATGGGCGTAACACTGAAAATTGCCATGAACTAAATGAGCAAATCAAGGAGGGGCTCGAGAAGGGAAAATTCAGAGAGTACGTGACAGATCAAGATAACCTTTCAAAGAAAATTCCAGGTGAGCCTCACGTTTCATTCAGGATATCATAAAGACTCCTCGAGGTTCCCTCAAACAAGTATGCATCTTGCTTTCATATTCTATTTAAATAATTTAGCAAATCGATGTTTCGATTTAGAATATTATTAAAGATCTTTTACTGTTTAGCTTTGACTTATCTCCAATAAACATATTATTATATTATGTTGCCTTTTTTGAGTGAAATTGCATATCAACGAAAGACCCGTTAGACGAGCACCAGGTTTAAATAAAACCTGCTTGACGGGCACGATCCACAAAGACACAAAGACCCGCTAGACAGGTAACGGCCAGATAAGACCTACTAGATGGGCACAGCCACAAGACCGGCACGATAGGCAAATACATGCTTCTCACCTTCAAATAAGAGAATTTAGGCGCCATCCTCCTAATTCGCATACACAGGATTCCCCCTTCCAATCAAGAACTCACTAAGATCTCCTCGAGCCACTTTATATTTCTTTATCTTGTATAGGTGACACCCGAGAACGAAAGAGTTCGAGAACTGGGGCAACACCACGAAACTCGAGGAGACATCAACACTCGTAGCAACCCATATTCTTCTCATCAAATCTCGAGAATATGGCTTGCTAGGGGCACTTGACGAGTCATAAATTAACCCTAAGCCTATTGGGCCTAGGATTAGGTTACTTGGAGATTAACCCACCACCTTAACCTATTCTGCTAGGGTTTCAGGAAACAGGTAACACCACCTCTATATAAAGAGGTGGTGCCTCTCTCATAAAGGATATCTTCTACCTATCTTCTACACCTTCTACACACGATACACGTACCTATATCTCTATTTTTTTTATTCTTTTATTGACTTAAGCATTAGAGAGTCTACCCTCCGGAGACACTCGAAGCTCTGTCTTCCAGGCTTTAGGCCGTCCGCCACCGCCTAGATCATCATCGCCGTCCGTCCTAAGGCACTATACAAATCCAGGCTTTGTCACATTCTATCCCTTCTTTTACTTGTTCATTTAGGCTTTTATGCATATAACCTTTGTTTATCGATTAAGTAGACTTTAAAATCGTCTTTACGTATGAATGGGTAAATGTATAATTAAAATCAAATGAAACTCGGTGCTTCTTATGAACACGATAGTAAAATACTATATTTTTTATGGATGGAGGAAAGCTTCAAGGAATTTCGACCATTTTTAGTGGAATACTATTAAGTTTTGAAGAGTAGCTTAATGTGCGCAACAAAATTGTTCAAAACATTCCTAACCAAGAGTACGGGTTTGTTTTGATGTAGTTGTCTTTTTTATTATGATTATACAGGTTATTGTGGTTCTGCCTTTGCCATTCAATTTGGATGTTATTACACTTTAATTCTAAGAGACCATTATGGTAATGGATTGTTGTTTATTATAATTTTGCTTGTGACTTTGGTTTTTTAACTTCGCTAAGTAGCTGTGACAAAGTCTTCCATAGTGGTTAGTTGATATTCGAGTTCTTATTAACTTGATGACCCGGTCGCGCGTAGCGTGATGGAAGAAGCCCTAG